ATAGAGTCAGGGTTTCACCATGTTGCCCAGGCTGGTCTCGAACTCCTGAGTTTAAGCAATGCACCCACCTCAGTCTCCTAAAGTGCTGGGATTACCGGCGTGAGCCATCGCCACCTGGCTGAATTTTCTTATCCTCAGTTGTCAATTCCAATTGTCTTTTCCATCTCTCCCTAAAAGACATGTAGGGAAACAAGAGGAGAGAAATATCTAGCCTTCCTGCTCAGTTCTCTTTGGCCCAGCAAAGGCCACCTTGCCTTGGGCACTATTTAGAGAGTTCAAAGAAAGAGGCAAAAACACTTATCTTGAACCCATGGATAAAATGAAGTACACACAAACTCAGTTAAAGAGAAAGGCCAATCAAAGCTATAACAGGCTGGGCATGGTGGCTGAGCCTGTGACCCCAGCATTTTGGGAGGCCAAGGTGGGAGGATTACTTGAGGCCAGGAGCTCAAGATCAGCTGGGGCAACACAGCAAGACCCTGTCTCTACTAAAATAAAATAATTAACTGGGCATGGTGGCATATGCCTGTAATGTGGCCCGGCTCTTCCAAAGGTTGAGGAAGGAGGATGCTGAAGCCCAGGAGTTCAAGGGTACAGTGAGTTATGATTGTGCCATTGCACTCTAACCTGGGCAACAGAATGAGACTGTCTCTAAAATTTTTTTTTTTTTTAAAGAGTTATAATAGAAGGTACCATTTATATAAACTCAATTATCCTCTTCACCTGAGCTGAACCCAAACCACTTGGTAAGTTAACTCGATCAATTCACTAGGACTGAGAAGCCAGTGAGGGGACAATTGCAGCAGCCTCTCACTTTAGACCCAGAGGGTTTCCCTGGGATGGAGATAACCTGAAAATGAAATGCTCTTCAAGGTTAGATAGGCACTGACCTAAGAATGAACATTGAAGCTGGACAGCAAATCTTCAAGGCATTAAGATTTATTGAAAAACTACATACATATTAAAACATCTTTATACACATTTCCCCCATTATAAGATTACAAATATACAAACATAAGTATTGTCAAAGTCAACATCTTGAGTATTAGAAAACTGGCTGGGTGCGGTGGCTCACACCTGTAATCCCAGCCCTTTGGGAGGCTGAGACGGGTGGATCACCTCAGGTCAGGAGCTCAAGACCAGCCTGACCAACATGGCGAAACCCCATCTCTACTGAAAATACACAAAATTAGCTGCGTGTGGTGGTGGACACCTGTAATCCCAGCTACTCGGGAGGCCAAGGCAGGAGAATTGCTGGAACCTGGGTAGCCTAGGAGACAGAGCCAGCCTATGTTGAAAAGAAAAGAAAAAGAAAAAGAAAAGAAAAGAGGAAAGAGGAAAGAAAAGAAAAACTGTAGAAAACCTACAACCTAATTGCATCAATTAAATTGGTGTTCCCATCTCCCAATAAAAAACTGGCACACTCTCTTCCACCTTCCCAAGTCCAGGTCCTGACACTGAAACCACAGTATTCACATGGAATGTTTTTCGAAAGCAGCATTGATGCTCAGTTCTGAGGGGAAAAACATTTGTCTAAAATTCTAAGAAGCTTGTGGTAGTTCAGGGCAAATGGAGAATGATGGCAATTCTCTTCAATAATATTTTTTTAAATTCCATGGTGGTCTTCTCTCAAAATTAGTAATGAAATACTGAAATGTCGATTGACTAGTGAGGGCAATGTATGTAAGCCAGGAGAATGCAATAAATAATGGTTATGTTTCTTCTTGTCAGACTCAGAAGGGAGGTCTTTGAACAACAGTGCTTCAAATTGAGAATTCAGTCCCAGGGAAGGTCTCTCTGCCTCATAGACTGTGGTGGACAAACACTGGATGTAACGCTTTATCTTCATCCCCAAGCTCCAGAAAATTAGAGCCAGTCTTTCTGACTTGGGTACCAGTTTAAGTCCTTATTAAGCAGCAAAAATTAATTCAAAATTTGATGCTGGCTTGGGAAGAAGCATACAGGAAAATGAAAGGGGTAAGAATAACACAGCAGCCCATCTATTGGTTCCTAGGTCCTCTGTCTAATAAATCTTGCTTTTGGCTGGGCACAGTGTGGTTCATGCCTGTAATCTCAGCACTTTGGGAGGCTGAGGCAGCTGGATCACTTGAGGTCAGGAGTTCGAGACCAGCCTGGCCAACATGGTGAAACCCTGTCTCCACGAAAAATACAAAAATTAGCCGGGTGTGGTAGCATGCGCCTGTAGTCTCAGCTACTTGGGAGGCTGAGACAGGAGAATCACTTGAGCCCGGGAGGCAGAGGCTGCCATGAGCCAAAATGCGCCACTGCATTCCAGACTAGGCAACAAAGTGAGACTGTCTCAAAAAAAAAAAAAAAAAAAAAAGAAAAGAAATCTTTCTTTCACTGAACCCTGGTCATCATGGTACATATATCATGGGTGTAAAGGAGTCATTGTGGAACTGATTTTCACTGTTTAATCTGTAATGTCACACTTTTCCCTACTCTTCCTCTTCCAACCACTTCTATCACAAAGAGATATTAACCCAGAAAGCTGCTAGGATAAAATGTCAAATGTTTAATGGAAGAAGTGAAACCTAACCCAAGGCCAGGTGCGGTGACTCATGCCTGTAATCTCAGCATTTTGCGGGGCCGAAGCGGGTGGATCATTTGAGGTCAGGAGTTCAAGACCAGCCTGGCCAACATAGTGAAACCCTGTCTCTACTAAAAATACAAAAACTAGCTGGGCATATTGGCACATGCCTGTAATGCCAGCTACTTGGGAGGCTGAGGCAGGAGAATCGCTTGAACCTGGGAGGCGGAGGTTGCGGTGAGCCGAGATCATGCCACTGCACTCCAGCCTGGGCAACAGAGTGAGACTCCATCTTAAAAAAAAAACAAACCTCACCCAAGTATTCCATGAGTTGTTGATGTTGTAAATACTGCAGAACTGAGATCAGTGGCCAATCCAGGGAATAATACTAGGAAAAGAGATGTCCAGAGCTGTGCAGTAGAAAGAACAGGAATTTCTGTCTGCAATCTTATTGCATTGATTATGAAGGAAGGAAGGATCGTTGGCTTGAGTGTCAATTCCAACTTTCAGTGCTAGGAACTTCTCAAAGCAGTCTCAATGTAGATTTTGGCAACTTTGATGGTGTTAGCTCTCCAAGTATTTGAAGATGCTTCGCTTCAATCCTGAAGTGCTATCTTCTGTTTTGAGGCGCTTAGGTGAAGGAGAAGCCATGAAAGATGGACCCCTTCTCTTTACCTAGAGAGCAGAGGGAGTCAGAGCCAGCTTAAGACCTTCATACAAGTACTTACCTTCAATTAGCTCTCAAGCAACTCATAAATTGTGGATGATTAACAACAGAAAAAAAGAAAGATAAACTTTCTAGGCAAGTTTAAAAGTTGATTACCTACTAGGGGTAGCAATTCTCTTGTACCTTATCGGGGAGTGCAAAATTTCAACATTGCAGCATAAAGAGGTTAAGCCAGAATTTTTGTTTTTAAATGTAAATAAATAAATAAATTCTGGTTTGGGAAGCCACCATATTAGTTCTCAAATTCCATACCTGAGACTTAGACGATTCCTTTGCCGCCTCAGCCTTCACAGGAGAAAGTGTATGAAAGACAAAGTTTCTTGAATTTCGAGGAGCACTGGGGTTACGGTCAGAGAGAGCAGCCAGTTTCTGAAGCACAGCTTTGGGCTGGTTTAGCAGTGAGCCTGTCTTCACCTGAGGAAAGAAGAGTCATCTGGTATCAAATCCCAAGTGCCAACTAAAGAATGAAAAGTCTTACCCTCCCTGCTTCCCCCTAGATATTGAGGGTACATATTCCTACCCTATTCAAATAGAAAAGAAATAGCAGACTCTTTGACATTAACTCTTTCCCTGCAGCCACCTCCTTCCTCTAATGACAGAGGCTATTCCCTAAGCTGGACCTGGGCGTTTATAACCTGTAGACTATGATGTCAGATTAACAAGGTTCCCAACCAACCTGTTGAGTACTTCCCGGTCTGATGGCTTCAAAAGGATTTCTGAGCAAAGACTTTGATTCCTGAATAACCATAGGGCGACTGGCTGGAAAGAAAAGACAGAGAGGCCTATTCTGGGAAAAGCTGATTAGAATTACTTTTAACTCTAAACAAGTTAAGAAATCTTATAACTAAATCAATACGCTAAAGCCATGGGAACTCTGTTCTATATAATGGTGACTTTGAAACTCTAATAATTGGCTCCAAGAAGAGACACAACTAAGTTGAACAGTAATCATTTAAGAAAAACAGAAGTGGTAAGCGTATGGAATAGTGAAGAGCTTTTTGGAGTTAAATATTCCTGGATTCAAATCCCACCTCTAACACTTGGGTATACAATCCTGGGCAACTAAACAGAGAAAGCCAGAATTAACTACTCTGAGCCTTAGAACATAAAGTAAAACCAGCCACATATACTCACAAATACAGTCTCTACTGCCCAATAGTCTTAAGGTCTAAGTACACGGTCTCCCACCACCTCTGAGAAACCTCTTTAAGACAGTATTAGACACAAGCTTATGATTAAGCTGCAATAGCTCCTGAAGGTTAGAGTCACCTCCAAAGCTCTACCACTAACAATCCAGGGGGCTAGACCCTAAGGAGAAACAAGAGCTCACCATTCTTCTGCAGTGCTTTGGCTGTAACTTTCTTGGCCAGTATCATAAACTGACTGTCCTCCCCAATTTCTTCTTCTTCTTCAGCTGTAATTTTCCCCTGCTGTGCCTGAAAAAAAAATTATACAGCATTAAAAAAAGTCTATAGCCTTCCTAAATAGTATGGCCTGGATTGTGAATCTAGAGTTCCTGGGATATTTGTTTTCCTTTTTGCAGCCTTTGCTGCTTTAGACAAAAAAAATTAATCTTAGACAAACACGAAGAGAACTGTCCATGGTATAGCCTTCTCAAAACACAAAAGATAGCTCGAGGATTAAAAAAGATAGCAATATGTTGCCTAAGATTTTGAAACTATCATGACAAGCTAAGTGACAGTCTCATAAACTAGGGTCAGAGTAGATGAACTCCTACCATGTCCCGAAGCCACTGCTCTCGTTCAATTCGCTCCTTCCTCCACCTGGCTTCTGACTCATCAAGCTGTTCTTCAGTCTGATCATCATCAGAGTCTCTGTGGAACAAGTCCATCTGGGAAGCATCATCTAAACAAAGAGTGAAGGTAATCAGCATTCGGCAGTCCTCACAGGAGAGGGTGCTTGGACAGACAAAAAATAAACCCTTATCATTTACTACATAATGATGTAAACTTTTCCCATCCTCTAACAGAAAACAACAGTTACAACTAGGTCTTCATATAGCCTGTTATAGTTTTGCTTGCCATTTGCCATCTGAAACTGGACAAATGTGAATTATAACTGTTTGCCTTTTTTTTTTTTTTTTGAGATGGAGTCTCGCTCTGTCACCCAGGCTGGAGTGCAATGGTGTGATCTCCACTCACTGCAACCTCTGTCTCCCGGGTTCACGCAATTCTCCTGCCTCAGCCTCCTGAGTAGCTGGGATTACAGGTGCATGCCATCACGTCTGGCTAATTTTTGTTACTTTTAGTAGAGATGGGGTTTCACCATGTTTTTCAGGCTGGTCTTGAACTCCTGACCTTGTGATCTGCCCACCTCTGCCTCCCAAAGTGTTGGGATTACAGGCGTGAGCCACCACACCCGGCCCATAACTGATTGCTTTTAAAGACAACAACCAGGATACCTATGTTTTTCCATCGAAACTTTCTCATTCGCCCAGGACCATCGCTGTGCAGATCCCCATCAGCAAGGTACCTCTCTTGGTATAAACGTAGCTGTCGCTTATCATCATCCAACATAGTTTTCCTGCAACAGAAGAAATAGGGTGCTCAAAACAAGGACCATTCTGGCTGGTTATAGGGCTTGTCTTAAGATGTACCCTATTACTCAGAAGGGCTTGTTGGGATACTGACATGTGTATTTTCTTGATTTGACTCTGTAGTTCCTCATCAGAAGGAAGTACTTCATCAATTACGTCCTCTTCATATTCATCAATTTCTTCCCCATCATACTCATCTTCACTTCCCACATCACTTCCTGACACCTCTGCCTCATCCTCCAGGTATTTCCTCAACCTCCTAGAAAGCAATTTTGAGGATTAGAAAATGCAACAATGAATATACTCACAGAATATGGAAGCAGAGAAAAGTAGAACACAGAGCCACTTCTAATAATAATAAACATAATACATTTGATAATATTTAAATTTTTTTGGTAATAGTGTCCTACTTATGATGGTTTGACTTGATGATTTTTCAACTTTACGATGACATGAATGTGATATGCACTTAGTATGCTTCTCAATTTACGATGGAGTTACAGCTAGATAAGCTGAAAGTGCATTTTCAACTTAGGATGGATTAATCAGGATATAGCCCATTGTAAGATGTGGAGCATCTGTATTTAAAAGTTGATCACTTAATATGTCTTGTGTGCTAATAACTGTGCTTTACAGGCATTAACATATTATCTTAGGAATGGATACTATTATTCTCTTCATTTTACAGTTGAGGGAATTGAGCCTCTGAAAGATTAAATTTACCCAAGGTCACATAGCTAGAAGGTAGCAGAGCCTGGATTCAACTCAGATTGGGTGATTTGAAAGCCAGAAAACTCTTAATCTCTTCTACATGTATTAGACTACCTGCTGGAAGGTTCAAACTATTTTGTTTTGCATTTGAGCACACCAGCTTTACGAGACAAACTAGAGATGGTGTGGTGTAGAAAGGTAATAAACTGGGACCTTCTTACAGCCTAACAAATCTTGACCCCCACATCAGAAGGAAGACTGAGGCTCAGAGCTCCTGGTAATCAAAACGACTACTAGTTACTTCTTTTGACTTCAGCTCCCCCTGAGAACAAATCTGTTGTCACCCTGGATTCAAAGTCATCTTGGTCCCATGTGGTCCAAAATGGCAGAAGTTTGGTGGCTTTCTAAAAACTGATTTTTATCAAAGACCTATACTGTTTTTTTTTTTTTGAGATGAAGTCTCACTCTGTCGCCCAGGCTGGAGTGCAGAGACGCCATCTCGACTCACTGCAACCTCCACCTCCTGGGTTCAAGCGATTCTCATGCCTCAACCTCCCAAGTAGCTGGGATTACAGGTGCGTGCCACCATGCCTGGCTAATTTTTGTTTTTTTAGTAGAGACAGGGTTTCACCATGTCGGCCAGGGTGGTCCTGAACTCCTGACCTCAGGTGATCTGTCCGCCTCAGCCTTCCAAAGTGCTGGAATTACAGGCATGAGCCACCACGCCCAGCCTACACTGTATTTTCTTAAAGCTAAGTTGTTCTAAATCCTAGGGTTCCTGGAAAATTCCTTCGGGGCCACTAGTCACTAAGTTTCCCAAACTTCCCACTTACTGTCTTTGAACAGTTCAACTTTCATCTGTTATTCTTTAAAAGATTTTATTTGAACAAAGAGCTCTGCAGATAAGAACCACTACCTTAGAAAAATCTATGGATGACCTAAAGCTGTATGAGAGTTAATTTGACAGGTGACAAATTAGAACCCAAAGTGAATCTTAACAGAATGAAATTATGGGATAAAAGCAACCATATAAATCTAATAGGGATCAATATGATGTCCTATATGTGAATTCCAAATCATTCACATATAATATAATATTAAATACCTATAAGAATTGTCTTTATAAAACTTTTTAACATCATAGGAAAATGTTTCTGGATATGCTAATTAGAAAAAAATGCAAAATTATACACATACAAAGACTGTACAAATCTCAACTATATAAAAATATATGCATAAAAAAGATTAAGAGGAACTAACTAACTTTCATTTATATCCTGGATGGTGGACATGGATAACTTTTTATTTATATCTCTCTGTATTCTTTTTTTTGGGGGGGTTGGGAGGGAATGGAGTTTCTCTCGTCGCCCAGGCTGGAATGCAATGGCACAATATCAGTTCACTGCACCCTCCAACTCCCAGTTCAAGCGATTCTCCAGCCTTGCCTCCT